AGATTGATACAGATACTTATACTTATGTAAATACTAATACTTGTACTACTACTACTAATACTAATATAAATACTAATATTAATACTAATACTAATAGTACTACTGATCCTAATCCTAGTACTAATACTAATACTAATACTAATACTAATACTAATACTAATACTAACACTAATACTAATACTAATACTAATACTAATACTAATACTAATACTAATATCAATACGAATACTATTACTAATACTAATATCAATACTAATACTATTATAAATATTATTACTAATACTAATATGTTAACATTGTTAATGTTAATGCTAATACTAATTTTGGTGCTAATGCTAATATAGATATGCTAATTATGATTGTAATTTTAATATTATCCAAATCCTTATCGTATTCCTAATTCTATTCATAACACTAATCATAGTTTTAATCGTAATCCTAATCATAATCCTATTCCTAACACTAATGATACGCCTAAAAATTTTAATACTAATAATGCTAATACTAATGCTAATGCTAATGTTAATTCTAATTATAATCTTAATTATAATTCTAATCCCAATCCTAATGCTAATCATAATTATAATACTAATGCATGTTACTAATTATTGTACTAAGCATAATCATAATCTTAATTATAATTCTAATACTAATATTAATCATAATCCTAATATTATATTAAACCTAATTACAATCCGAATCCTATTCTAGTATTAATAATAATACTAATTCAAAGAATCTTAATTATAATTATAATTCTAATACTAATTTTAATCACAAATTCTGATTTTGCAACAATTTTTTTTTTATTTTGCAACGATCTGTTATTTAGTATAAAAAAAACAATTATATTCAATCTCGAACCTTTATATCAAATTTCTTATGTGTGGCCATAAAAAAAACACATATTAAATATATTAGAAATTAATATTTAAATATATTATCAAAATGACATTAAAATTATTTCAAATATTATAAGGGTATAAGCAAACGTTAAGCCGTAAAAGAACAATAATCATTGTTAATAAGATAAATTATGAAAATTCTCCTGAACTTAGGCTAAATTACAGAAAACAGCCCCACTTATCGGTGATTAACAAAATCCTCCTCATGTTTGTTTCTGTCTTACACGACCCCCTTATGGTGTGATATTTTTACGGAATCTTTTTTATTCCATGTAATGTCCCAAAAAATATGGAGTCTACCCTTGCCGACGTGACATTTCTTTTATCGTACTTTTTAAACTCAAAAATTACCTAGACGGGTGGTCATGGTAATAATAAAAATTTGTGAAAGTGTTATTTAAGAAGAATAAAGATTTCGTGTAAAGTTCACATGATGGTAATTTTTGTGTTTAAAAAACATTAAGGGAATTATTAATATAAACTATTCACGGCAAGAGCACTTCGAGTGGGATTATTAAATGAGCTATCAAAACATTTAACACCATTTTTATACTCCAAAATAATAATTTTTAATTCTAATAGAGTTATGAAATGAGGTATTTTGATATTTCATCTTTGAGAATGTAAAAATACATTATGCAATCATGCAGAATAAAATATCAAACATGGGTTATGAATTTAATCACCTCAGTGTCCATTTAGAAAATAACATGTGGCAATTAAATATATTTAATTAACAACTATTTAATACATATGGTTGGAGCAAATACATTTAGATAAATATCAACATAAAATATTAAATAGCACAGAAATATTTGCAAACTCATTTTGATACTTTTGGGTTGGAGTTGCTGTAGATATTTACTTAATTATATTTATTAGAGTCATAATGAAATACTTATTAGTGGAATACAATATATAGTATATACGATCATTATACATTTTAAACAAAACAATTGATATTCTTAATGTTAGCCATTAAATAAAGTGGATAAATGAATTTAATACCAAAGATTAAATTATTATATTTTGAAATATATAAAATCAATTCGTTTTTTTATCAATTGATTAAACTTAACTTAGGTTATTCAATTTATTAGTATAATCATGATAAAATTTGTATTTTAATTAGTATATAATTTAAAAAGTTAAATCAATCGTAAAATTTTTGTTACTGGATTGAGTGAAGAAAAAAAAATTATTTAAATAATAACATGAAATTCATGTAGTATAATTTTCAATACGGTAAATAATTGGGAGTACATTACTCTACACATGGCATAGCAAATAGTGTCAATTTTCGCAAGATTGTAAATCCAAACATGTATCTTTCTTTTGTACAGATAATATTAATATATGATATTAAATTAGTAAAAAAATACATATTCTCTAGTCATGTTCATGTAAAATGTATAATATCAAATAATTTATTATGCAATATTTTTTTTAACATAAATTCAAGTTTATGAATTAAAATTAAAAAAATCGTAACACCACCAATCATGCAATTATAATAAGGGAAGATTTTAAATCGAATTTAACGAAATTAAAATTAAATTAATTATAAAATTAAATTCAAAAATAAATTTATTTAGGATTTCTAAGAAACTTGATATATTTAGAGCATTTTATAAATGGTAGGATATAAATATATTAATACAATAATTAAATATATTTAATTACCTTTAATTTTTGAAAATCATGACATGTTTTTTGATGATTTATTTCCACCAATGAATTCGCCACATGGGATGAAATTGAGGACATGTCATTAATTGAAATTGCCAAATGTCAATCAATTAGCTATGGAATTCAACTTTTATATATTATACTAGTAATACACCCGTGCGATGCACGGGGTATTCATCATAAAACAAATATTGAATAATTAAAAAGGTTCTCGAAATAGTAATATTAATTGTTAATAAGTAAAAGAAATAAATAGAAAATATTCAAAAATAAAACTAATTTGTATGGTGTAAGTGATGAAATAAGTCGATATAAGTGAAAAAACTAAACATCGAAGGTTTTAATTTCCATATACAAAAGAGCGAATATATAGTAGGTCCCAAACTTGTACAACCATAATGACATGAAAGTTGAAAACTTGAATTGTTTGATACCAACCGCCCTAAACCCATGCAACAAATCCGATACAATGCAACTGTTTAATGGTATAAAATCATTGTACAAAAATTACCAACACAATACCAATAGAACTGACCTGCATATGTTGTACAATGGTCCCCCCAAAATATGTAAATTGTTACGAAAACAAATATCACTGTTTAATGGCATAAAATCATTGTAATAAAATTATCTTCGTGATATATAGTGAGCGGAGTCCATAGCAAGTTCCTAGTACAATTAAAATAAACCTACAAATGAGGAATAACAAAACATATAAATAATAGAATATAAAGGTGGTCAATGAATATTGTAATTTTTTGTATATAGAATTACCTTCATATACGCTGAAAAACTTTCTTGTATACAACATTATTTGTAACATTGTTCCTATCACCAGATTCCGAGTTAAACAAAATCTATATGCCACTTCGACTCTTAACTCTCGAGAGTGCGACATAGAGTTGCATGTGACTAAAAACAGGTCTCGGCAAATACAGACCCACGTGAGAAAGAGTCTGTCCTAGACTTTTATTGATTGTCATTGCGAATGATACCATCAACGGAAATTGACGTTGCTGGAATTTAATAGGCAATGTAGAGTTGAACGGTACCAAAGTCATTCTAGGAATGAACACCAAATCACCAATATGTTTACCGGATAGGAACCTGCAGTTGAAAACGTGTTTTCCTATATTAACAACCTGAAGCCTTGTTCCATTGCACAATCCTCTGGCCTGATCAATATTTCTGATGAGCATAACGGGAATACCTCTTTCCAATGTCAACTTATGCGGTGGAATTCCGGAGTATGATATGGTGTTGAGAAACTCAGGTGAGTATATATCTGCGTTGACATCCGACAATAACTCCTCCTTGCACATACTATCGGAGCTGAAATAGACCTTATCCTCTCCAGTTATGATCGACAAAAAATGATCGTTCACAACACCGACACTTTCATTAGTGGGTGCAAGAATTGCTCTGCCTTCGAAATACTCGGGAGTGAAAAGGTTGGTCACCAGATCGGGATAGACAAATTCTATAAGATCCAAAAAGGGATCTGAAGAATTCCGAATCAGCATGTCATCGGGAATTTCAAATGTGGCATCACCGTCATTTACCTCGCCACCATCGCCATTGCCGATTCTCAATATCCATTTCGCAAATTCTCTTATTTCATCTGCATTGACGGAAGAGGAGGGCAACTCAAGTCTTATGTTCTTGTTCAACTTCATAACGTTACATTGTATCAACAACGGTGATGAATTGATTGTATCATGAACAATGTGTCTCAACGCTTTCAACACAACTGGTAGAATTTGCCGAAAGTCCCCTCCAAGCACTACAACCTTGCCTCCGAATGGCATATCTTAATTAAGTATAGATTTCATTTTTTTGTCGACTGCTTCGAAACAGTACCTGTGCATCATCGGTGCCTCGTCCCATATGATTAGCTTTGCTCTAGACAACAATTATGCCTGTGGGCTCTGTTGTTTGATGTTGCATGTGGAGTTGTCATGTACAATTATTGGCAGTCCAAATCTCGAATGAGCAGTTCTGCCACCTGGAAGTAGAAGCGAAGCAAAACCACTGGAAGCAACATTTATAACTATTTCGTCTTTTGAACGGATAGCAGCCGATAAAGTTTTCCATACGAAAGTCTTTCGTGTTCCTTTATGCGCATAAAGAAAGAACAGTCCACCTATGTCATTTGTAACAACATCCATGATATAATCGGACACTTTTTAATAAATAGTTTCCTCCATTGTGTTCTAACAAATTATTTGATAATAAAAAATTTCTCCAAATAATAAAATGAATGATTGATATGCAATACAAAGCAGTAGAAAACTATTAAATAAAAAACTATTTCGTATAGTATAAGTGATCAATTAAGCCAAAATAAGTGGAAAAGTTAAAATTCAAAGGTTTATTTACCGTATACAAAGAGTGAATACACCGTTGGTCCCAAAATTGTACAACCACAACGACCAATTAATTCAAATTCTTAATTTGATCCAAACAATTATAGTTATTGCGTTTGATAACAACAACCCTAACGCATGTATCTAATACAATGCGAGTAACCTATATATTTTGTACAGTGGTCATACGAAATAACAAACAATTACCAAAACAACAACAATATAAATCTTTAATGAAATAAAATCATTTTACACTAAATTTATCTTGATAAAAAATCTCGAGTGGAATCGATAGTAAGTTCATAGTACAATACAAATTACGAATAACCATACATATAATTAATAAAAAATTAAAGGTTGTTATTTAATAATGTATACAATTTTACGTAGTTACCTTAATATATGATGAAAAGTTTCCAGGTGTACCACATTGTTTGTAACGTTGGTCGAATCCCCGGATTCCTACTTGATAAAAATCTTACATAGGGTTTATTTATTTGAACAGGTTGCACACCAGATTTGGATAAACAAACTCTATAAGATCCAAAAAACGAATCGAAAGAATCATGAATCGGCATGTGATCGGGAATTTCAATTCCAGTACTGTTTTATTAATATCAATCTTAACCATAATCCTCAATTTATTTTATGTTACACCCAATAAAATACACCAAGTAGATCTTTACCATTCATATGCGCACAAATATACAAACACATACATTGGTGTGTGGATCCAAGGTAAAAAAATCACCCAGTGTAGTCTTCATCGGTTGTAGCAGAGAAATAACCCATAATCCTCATACTAATACTAATACTAATAATATTATTACATATATCATATGATAATGCTAACTTTAATATACTAATGTCAATACTAATATTAATATTAATATACCAATAACAAAAACAATACTACTACCAATATCAATACCAATACCAGTACCAATACCAAAACCAAAACCAAAACCAACACCAGCACCAACACCAACACCATTACCATTACCATTACCATTATCATTACCAATCACATTACCATTACCGTTACCATATCCTTTACCATTCCCGTTAAAATTGCCATTATTATTGCCATTACTATTACCATTATCAATACCATTACCATTGCCATTACATGTACCATTATCAATACCAATAAAAATATTAATATCATCTAATTTCCGGCAAATG